AATCAATTTACGCGAATGACGCAATTTCCACAAAATGCCATTTTACTTAAAATATTTGATTTTCTTTAAAAATCATGCTCATTTTCTTCACTAATTATTTTGAAGTAACAATCTTAAACAGAACTTAACAAAATTTATTGCCGTACAACCTGAAACGGAGATAAACGTAGAAAAATATCTTAGAAATACTCGCTTGATGATTATCCTAGGATGACCCTAAAAATGAATATGAAATAATAGTTATTATGTAAAGAAATGAAAAATTACATAAAGATGTCTTCGTGATGCATGAGAAAAAAGTCTTACAAATACAACATTCGTGGTATTAAATACTATTAACCTTTCAACAGTTTACAGTGAAAAGCATTTAACAGAGCAAACACCACGACAACATCGGTTGCGTTGGATACAACATCAACAAAAATGTAAATTAACTAAATTTAAAAAGAAAATTGAGTGTCGTAAAAAGAATGTGTTATAAAACGACAATTATAGGTTTTTTAATTATTGTATTATCGTTTATAATCATTGCACTTCGTTTTTAGATATTTATTTGTTCATAGGATATAATCAGACCAGTGAATGTATTGCTGAGGACCGAAAGATCGAAATTATTATAGGAGACAAATAAAGAAAGTAACAACCAGTAATGGTTATAAATTATTTTTATGCAATTTAACAAAAAGTACATACAGTAGAGCGTCGTTTATCCGAAAGTCGGTTATTCGAAACGTCGGTTATCAGAAAGTATTCCAGTCGGCAAATTTAAATTTTCGCTAGTGCTGTGGCGCAGCAATCTTCGGCTATATCTTGGGCTACTCCAATATTATTTTGTTGGTGCGTGTGTTTTAGCTGGCAGTACTGGCACTTTTTTGTGATGTTTTTCTGAGGACTGTGTGTCATGCTGAATCGAACGTTTTTGATACTAGATTAACTTCTAAACTATAAGTTTTTTTGTTTTTATATTTTTCAATATAGTTATTTTGTTTGTAAAAAATAAAAAATAATGTTTAACGATACAATAGCCACGATTATTATTTTAAAAAGTTTACATTAGGCTTAACATCGACGAAAATTCAACGCGAAGCGACACGCAACGGAGAAAAATTTCAACACGGGATAGGTTAATATATCATTCGTACATAATCGGTTATTCGAAAAATAAGTTATCCTAACAACCCCAGTCCCCAATTGATTCGGATAAACGACGCTCTACTGTTTACGACTTCTTAAGAAATGCGAATATCTGTATTAACGATAATTTTTCTAAGAACACCTTGTTGGATTGCATACTCCGCTTGTTGTAAGATCATATTATTAAAACGATCATAATAAAGTACTCGTAGTTTAAATAAAAATTAATATAAATAAATCTCCAAGTTCGTAAAAAATGTATAAATTATATTCTAAACTGAAAATAATTCGATTTCAGTATCACAAAATAATGCACCGAAGATTTACTATATTTACTAGCTTTGTATAATTAAAGACAAAATTGCTTGATACTCATCAAACAAACTTAAAAACCAAAACGCACAGAATTGTCATTGGTATTCGGTAGTTATTGCTTTGTTGTGTGTTCAGATTTACAATTAGTAAATACGGTATCGGATAAGTTCCAATAGTATTTTTTCCCCACGTAAAGATTTGTTGAAATATTTAAATTTCCAATTGAAACAGTAGCTTTTTGTAAAAAACAAGGAAAAAAAGTAAATTTATCAAACTTATTATCAAATACGCAATGCAAATGTTTTAAAACTGTTATACGATTTTATAAACATTAATTTTTTGTTTAGTTACTTACAAAATATATTTTTGAATAAAATTCAACTTTAACGTCGTTCCACTTGTCGGCAAATTTTTATTGCCATTTTTTATGTATTTTCAAGTTTGCTTTTAATGAATATCAAAATTAAATGATTATTCCAGTTATTGGAAATAAATTCATTCCGAAAATCAGCTGATAAGTTCGAAAATGCCTTTAAACCGTAATTCATCTGAGTAATTTACAAATGTTAAAAATAAACAATTTTAATAAATACATAATTTACGAATTATATTACTAATTTTATTATTATAGTAGCTGTTTCTCGCGACTTCGCCTGCAAGGGTTTTGCAAGCAAACCCCATTTATATTCGTTACTAGCTGCAAGGACCCGCTTCGCTGGGTTTTTATTTGTATGTAATATAGTTTTTTTATATATATAAAAGACTGTGTGAAATTCGAAGTTAATAAAAGCATTTAATCCTTTAGAAGTTTAATAAATTTAAAATAAAAATGCTCTCAACCAAAGGAATTTGACCCTACAAAAACGAAATATGAAGTACAAGAGAGAATTCTAACTCTTTTTGTTTAACTATAAACATTTTCACGATCAAACCGTATATAGTTTACAGTTATCGGCGAAATTCGTCATATTGTTGTCATTTTAATACCACCTTTAACCCCCACACCTGCTAAAACAATTCATCACCTGACGAATTTTCCCACCAACAAGGTATAAAAGCCATCCTCCTTCCCCTCTCCGGGGAGTCGCTAATCAAGAAGTCGCCATCGCACCATCAAGATAGAATTTCGCTTCCCTCTAACCGGCCGCACCACATATTAGAAGACCTTCGATCCCAACCCTCAACTTGGATCCCGCCTTTCAGAAATTAAAGACCTTCGATATCATCGCAAGAGGTATGAACGCTTTATTGTAAGCTCTCTCTCTCATATGCGAATGAGACTTATCGTGTTAGAACGTTTGTTTTATTATTTGTCTGTAATAAATTGTTAGTTTAGAAAAATGGTGTCTTTATTCGACTATGCCAACGCCTTATCGTCGGCCCCGTAACTCTCCTNGACTTGGGGCTACCACCACATACAAACACCATTCACGTGCGATGTGTAGTTTTGGCGAAAAAGTGAGATATAGGGACATACATGTCCATTTTTATATATATAATATAGATTTCTACAATCATAGTAATTGTTATATAACATATATAACACCTACCGCTGAGAATAATGAGAATTACTGAGAATCAAACAAACTGTTTTCAATTTGATAAATTTTATAGATGAATCTAGAACGTTTATAATCGTTCTATAATTTAATCAATTTGCAATAACAAATTCGAATTTAAAACGGTTGGAACATTTCGTTAAAAATCGAAATATATGAAAATATTTATAACAATGTCTGAAATGTTATCAATTTAATACACATCAGTACTGAATGGAGACTAAACGTAGTTGAAAACAAAAAATCGCTTCTAGATAGTACAGTAGTAGCCGTTCTTTAGGTTAAGACTTAATCCTTTTTCTCTGCCCCGCGGGGGAGAATTACGAAAAATCCCTTCTTGGTGTGCGTTTCCACGATGTACCCTAACTGTGTACAAAATTTTATCTGTTTAGATTCAGCGGTTTGCTCTGAGCGATAATGAATCATTGAATCACTCACTCAGTTACTCAGTCAGTCAGGACAAGTAATTATATATATTTAGATACCTTAATAATTTTTAAAACATCAAGGGACTTATTCTGAGCTCTTCCGATAACTCAACGAGAGCGATACACGGGTCATTCGATAAGTCCCGTTAGCGAAAGGCAGTTAACGAACCTTATACAAATTGCTATACTGTGATCTATGTTAATGTATTTTTTTAGTTCATTCATTAAGAATAAAATGACAAACTTAATTTTTACAATTTCTGCTGCTTTAAACCTTATAACCACATTAGAATTAGTATTATGATTAAATGTCAAATGCAATACCATATTAAATGAAAACATTATTTACATAGACTTGGAGTGACTGGAAGACAAACATTAAAAGTAAAGTCTCACAAATAAAACAATCATCATTTCAAAGAGGAGGTGGGCCTTCAGTTAATCAAAAATTAACTGAAGTTGAAGAGAGAGTTTTAAATTTATTGGTATAACTGCTGTTTACGGAGAATCCCAAACTGATGAGGCAGAAGTTCAGGTAATAAAAATCATATTGAAATTAAAACATGCTTATTAAACTACAGTAATTATAGGAATTGTATGTATTATAGGAACCAAATGGTGCACAAGAGTTGAGTGAAAGTGCACAAGACTTATTAAACTGTATGATTGACAATACTAATTCTTGTGTACAATCAAATGATTCCACTTGTATAAATGAAGAATATCCATCTAATCAAAATGCATGTTTCGAACTGCCTCCAAGTGATGATTGCAACCCAACTGATTGTCTACATTTGAATACTTCATTAAGAAATGTTAACAGTAAGTGGATATATTATTTTGCAATATTAAATATTTAACAGATAAAAAATAATTTTAAAAAATTTATGACCAGGAAAAAAAGGAAACATGAAAATTGTGTTGGGGAATGTATGGCAGAAAGCCTTAATAGAACAGAATATTAAAAGTTGCATATTTTAAAAAATATAATACAAGCAATGAATGAAATGGCCAAAAATATTGAAAGGAAGGCAACAGAAGAAGAAAGGAAAGCAGCAGTGGAAAAAAGGAAGGCAGCAGCAGCAAAAAACAAGGTTGCTGCTTTGCATGAAATTGCTGCTTTGCATGAAATTGCTGCTTCATTAAGGAACTCTATAACAGAAGCAGAAAATCAATAAATGATTTTACAATAAAAAAAGGCCCTTTTCAGGGCCATTCATTTGTGATAAAGAGTAACCAAATCTATTTTCAACCAATATATTATTACCAAGTAAATTTCACGTTTTAGGAAAGTCTTTTAACTATTTACTTTATGCAAAATTTTAATTTATTGTACAAATTACTAAAATGTTTCTTCTAGTAACAAAGATGGTTACTGGTTTCATAAATCATCTGATATGAAAAGTTTCATTTTTATACAGTACTAGATAATTATTGTATATCATTTTGTGTAAAATAAAGATTATGTTCATTTTAATTATTCATATGTACTTTGTAAAAATTATTTGTCACTAAATATGTACAAGTATTTTATAAATTTTAAACATTAAAAATATAACAGAATGTTTTATTTCAGTATCGTACAAATGCTGCTATTGTTGAAAATTTACAGAATCAGTCAAATATAAGAACTATATCATTTTTTATTTATTGTAAATAATTATAATTACACAGCTATTATACAGTGTAATTTTTATTTACATATTTACATGAAATGGCTCCTGAGGAGTCGTTTTGAATTTCTCTGGCTTTGTTGCCAAGTGAAACGTCATCTCCAAGTCTGGATACTGTAGGAAATTCCATTTCTCCCGTCATTCCGTCATATAAATCAATATTCTTATCAAGAGAAATTTTATGTGCTATGCACATATTGGGCAAAACAGCACATGCATTAATTATTAATCCAGCCTTATAAGGTGAATAATTTAACACTCTGTGCTTGTGTAAACATCTGAATCGGGACTTTAGAAGTCCATTACATCGTTCTATAATGATTCTCGTTGATGTCAAGCTGCTATTATAGTTTTGCTCATTTTGTTGCTGAGCATCTAATATAGGTGTCAGAAGCCATGGTTCCATTGGATAGCCACTATCACCTATAAAAAGAAATAAAACAATTTTGATAAATGAATTTTGCCATACTTTCATATATATATATTATGTTTATTTATTTATATATATTATATTGTATATACGTGTGTGTATATATTTATAATAAAGTGAAATGAAAAACATAGATGTTAATAAAAATAGTTAAAATATATTATAAAATAAAGACAATTGACATACGATACAAAAGATATTGTGTAACCACAGTCTTCTGCCTTGTTTTGATTAAACTTTTAATATTTTTACTGTTCTATTTACATATAATAAATCAAATATTCTAAACTTTCTAATAAATAACTAAAAATAAATCAACTATTACTCGATAAACATATATGAAGCATTATTTAGAAAAATCTAAGAAATATGTAATATTCAATATAAAAATCTGTTGGTTTAATTTTACTAACCTATTAACCAAGCATTATTATTTGTTTGAATTCTTCCCTCTATAAAAGCTCGTCTTAAGTTGCAGCTTTTCCATATAAATGAATCATGTGTTGATCCAGGAAATTTTGCGTTAACGCTAATTATTTTCATGTCGGGATCACACACCTGACAAATAATGAAAATATAATAATTCATTGTATTATTTTTGTGTCACGAAATGATATTTATAATTTAATAATAAATTTGATAATTTATGTACTAAAATCATTTAAAATATAATCAAAAAGTTAGTCATTTACTTACTATTTGGGTATTTATGGAATGATATCCCTTTCGATTGATATATGTAAATTCCTTATGATCGGGATCATTAAGTGATGGTGCAATTATAGGAATGTGAGTTCCATCAATAGCACCTATCACTCCCGGAAAGCCACCTAAACTCATAAATTTTTGTTTGACCAATGCCATCTCAGTTTCAGAAGTTGGAAATTTTATCCAGTGATGAAGAAGGATGATGTTTATTGCCTTGCNTATATTTATAATAAAGTGAAATGAAAAACATAGATGTTAATAAAGATAGTAAAAATATATTATAAAATAAAGACAATTGACATATGATACAAAAGATATTGTGTAACCACAGTCTTCTGCCTTGTTTTGATTAAACTTTTAATATTTTCACTGTTCTATTTACATATAATAAATCAAATATTCTAAACTTTCTAATAAATAACTAAAAATAAATCAACTATTACTCGATAAACATATATGAAGCATTATTTAGAAAAATCTAAAAAATATGAAATATTCAATATCAAAAATCTGTTGGTTTAATTTTACTAACCTATTAACCAAGCATTATTATTCCTTTGGATTCTTCCCTCTATAAAAGCTCGTCTTAAGTTGCAGGTTTTTCCATATAAACGAATCATGTGTTGATCCAGGAAATTTTGTATTAATGCTATTTATTTTCATGTTGGGATCACACACCTGACAAATAATGAAAATATAATAATTCATTGTATTATTTTTGTGTCACGAAATGATATTTATAATTAAATAACAAATTTGATAATTTATGTATAAAATCATTTAAAATATAATCAAAAAGTTAGTCTTTTACTTACTATTTGTGTATTTATGGAATGATATCCTTTTCGATTGGCATACGTAAATTCTTTATGCTTGGGATCATTAAGTGATGGTGCAATTATAGGAATATGAGTTCCATCAATAGCACCTATCACTCCCGGAAAGCCACCTAAATTCATAAATTTTTGTTTTACCAATGTCATCTCTGCTTCATAACTTCGAAATTTTATCCAGGGATGAAGAAGGGTGACGTTTATTTGCCTCGCTTACTGCTGTTATGCAACGGCTTACCGATGGCTGGCTAAATTCTAAAGTGTTATATTGAGCTACTGGCATCTGATAAGAACCAGAAGCAAAAAATCTAAGAGCGCATAATACCTACATGAAAACAAATTTAATAAAACTATAATGCAGCTCACAGATATATATTATANAGATATAGATATAGATATTCAAAGCTATCATTTTAATTCATACATTTGCGAATGAAAACTATTTCAGAAATAATGTTCACGCTATAGCTACTTACTTTAAATTTGAACAAAAGAGCAATTATTCATAAATAGTTAAGGTAATTATTTTTAAGCAATACAACAACTTAGTTTATTAGCATTAAAAAGCTACTTACTTTTATTTCTGCAGATAGAGCATTTTTCATAAAACTCTTTGGCTCTAGGGTATCTCGTAATTCATTATATATATGTATATAACTAATAGTTTCGGAAGACGATAAAGTTGTTTAAACTGTGTATCGTTCAGCCGAAAAGCATCAGCTCGAAGATTAAACTGAGATTCGCGACGTCGAATTCTAATTTCGTCTCTATCCAATTGTTCGCGAAGTAATATCATTGTCACACCGAACGACGCCACGTTGTTTACACTTTCGTTACGTTCCTAACGGCAGGTCGAGAGTGACCGATAACAAAAGCTTATTTATCGCACGTATTTATCGCACGTATATATTTTAATTAATGACTTTTAACTTGTTTGGCATTCTCCTTGAGAATTAGAAAATAGAAAACCAGTTTCTGTTTACAAATAGGCCTACTGTTTATGTAGTATTTTCTTACCTTTGTATATTTTATATTGTCTGATTTTTAAATCATTAATGATGATTCTTAATTTTAATTTAATAGAAATTATAATTTTAATTTCAAACAACGTTGGATATTCTCGTATTAGTATAATATAGAGTTTAGATAAATATATTTAAATAAAGTGTACTTCTCTTATTTACCGGATGTCAATTGCACTTTATTACACTACACCTACTTTTAGTAGTTGTACAATTACCTCTGACGTAATAAATGATAATATTACTTATCGTTGCGAATTATTTTTTTAATATATCGATTTATAACAGAAAATCTTTTTCGTATATTTACAGTTAAATGATCTTAAATGCAATAAATAAAAATTAATGTTAAATTAAATTAATAAAATATTTTATTTTATTAAATTAAATTTATAGATAATGAGAAACTATTAAATTACGATAATAACAAGGACTTCTTGTGATATTGTGGCCTCATACATTTTGACGTCTTTAGCTAAATTCGTTAAATTCGTATTAATATTTCTGTGAAGTTTTGTAAAAATATTAATTTAAAATTTTAATCGTATCTAGTTATAATGATTATAATACAACAAACGAGTTCTTCGCATAAATATAAACTGGTTCCTGAGGCGATTGCAATAGAATTTTTATTTATTTATTTTTTCCTTAATGTAAAAAAAACTAATTTCGCTTGAGGCAATAGGAAAATAGTTGTTAACTTGATAATTTTCTACAGATATTAGTACAAAAAATAAAATATGAGCAATTTACTTAATTTTCACGTAACTTCTTATCTGGAAAAAATGCAACGTTTCTCGACACTTGCAATGTACTGTATAATATTCCAAGTGTATTTATTTCCTTGTTTAGTAATCGATAACCTTTATAAAGGTTGAAAGTGTTCTACATTAGCATTTGTTTTATTATTATTATTAACACAGGTTTAACATAACTAGATTGGTAAATAAATTATACTTTTTTCTCAGGTTCTACTAGGTTTACTGGCTTGTTCGATTCGATTGTTCTCTTTTCTACAAATCTAATAAAATGGGAAGTTTAAATAAACATCGTCTCTTATATAGTAAATAATAATCGATTGTTAAAAGTTAACGTTATATATAAATATATATATTTTTACAATGTCGTAAATGAGTATATAGTACTTTTTATATTAATATTTAAAAGAAATTTTGGGTGAAATTCAAGTATTTTCTACTTTTAAAATATAGACTATATTCAATATATAGAGTATAGAATATTCAATTGTGGCAGTTTTGAAACTCAATGTTGTTGCAACCTTTTTATTTGATTAATCTCCCCCCGACGGTACTGGTCGAAATTCTGAAATTATGATAAAACAAAATAAATTTATAAAAATATTTGCGAGTATTTTATTTTAACGCTTAAATACTTTAGCTTCACACTCCAATCCAAACTTATCCTCATCTTATTTCTAGGGTGAGTACAAATGTACTTTTAATATTGCAAAATATTTCTGGCAAATATTAGGTTTGTTCCAACACAAGTCCTTAACTGGTTTAATTATTTTTTATATGCCACATGTAATTATTGTAATACTTTAATAATATATCATGTACATATAACAATCTAATGTTTTTATTTCTAAGTATAACATCCCACCTTTAAAATGACCCGGTCAACAATTTTGAAAATATGGCAAAGTGTGTAATAGTTACTTGTGCGATTCAAGGTTTTATACGTATTTATTTTTTCTCGTTATGTTTAGTACACAGTGTTCGGTAAAACTAGATAAGTCATATTATTATTTCTGAACAACGGGGGAAAAGTGTTATAAATTGTACACGTAAAAAAGATATAAAATTCAATGCCATAATGTTTAGACTATTTTATTCTCATGTTCTTTACTTGCTTTATTTATTAAAGCAAATTTTGAAATCGATCCGATCAAATATATGAATGGATAACGCCCATATGTTTCTTTGTGTAGTTTTTGCACTCAAATCATTTAACTGTTTCTTGAAAATACGATATCAAACTACGTTATTGTTAAGTTAGTCTCTAGTCGATTGCAAAAGCGCTAAACAAATAAACTGTTAGGAACTTACACGTGATACGTAGCTATTCATTAACAATACTCAATGGAAAAACGAAATGTGTAAAGTCATCACTTTTATACTTGAATATATGCGTCTGTACAAAGTAGGTGGAAATAATCACACGTCGTGTTAAAGATCAGACGTCGATTTTCAATACCGATCTATGTAAGAAACGCGAATGTAAAATACAAGTTAAACAAAATTTACATATAATAACGTACGTACATTTTGTAAATAAAATTTAGCTAAAAAACATCAATTTGCGTCCTGAGTCGAGTAATTTTATTGGAAAGTTCGTTTGATCTTTCAAAAATAAATGGACATCAAAGACGTGATTGGGTCAACCGATGCACCGGAAATTCATATTAACATGTATGAAATTTTTGTTATGTTAATAGCTTAGTGATAATTACACTCGTATGTCACGTAAAATAATGCAATATTATATTTAATCTTTCTTTTTATTAATTTTAAGAGAAACAGATAGCTTCATAAAAAAATCAGTAAACAAATAAACATATGATATACGTAAAAGAATGAAGAAATTTAACAATTTGAATTGCGTGCCACGTAAATATTTATTTTCGAAAAGCCAATAAATCAGACACGTAAGCGGAAATGCGAATACCATTTGTATTATTTGGACGACAGTGATCAACGTGGCAACAATTGAAAAATAGAAAGTATCTTTATTTCCATGCATTATATAGTAAAATAGCTGTACAGTACATCAGCGATGGAAAAAATTATTGATGTAGACACACGACAGTAAATAACTGCACTCTTTCGATGAAGCATACCGTGATATAATGAGCGTTGTTACGTGACGGCAGAAATGAAGAAACAGCAAGTTTCATTCATTTAATATTATCATAATTGTATCTCCAAACTCACAAAGTTTAGAAAATACGAATACTCGTGTCCAAAATAACATTGCTGGTGTATTTTCTGTGAAACTCTTATTTCATAAAATTTCATAAAATATAAGGCGCGTAAATACTTCGTAAAATACACGAATTTGACAATTTCGCATATGGACATTTTCCTAAAAAAAAAAGCTTCTCCTTATTTCTCTTTTTAAGTTTGACCTTGAAACATTTACCTGTCTGTATACTTTTTCAAAAATGTAACGAAAAACCTAAATTAAACAGTAAATTATCTATTGTGGGATCGACCCAATACGAGACTGAACTTTTCCATTATATTTTTAATTTATTTATTTTAAAATCTATGCTCTTTACTACAGATTAGTATTTGCTTGCCCCGCGTAAATTATACCCTTCCTGTTACATAGATG